AGTTTTTGAAGGTTTTTACTATCTTATATGATTATTTAAGATAATTCCAAACATTCATTATGTTTTATTATATCATTTACCAATAAATATTTTTTTTAATTTTGTATACAACTGCGCAGGTGCTTCGTCTTGACCTATACTAATGAAGGGTATATCAATGTCAACATCCTTTTACATTTACGTGCATTGGTACCTTAGCATTCCACAAGTAGTATCACAGAGAAGTGCTCCATCATAGTCTGGTATACACATGCAATCAATCTAGACATTTCATATTATTCATAATTTTATATCACACAATGCGTAATATTTATTACAGTAATGCAAAAAATATTTCATAATGTGAGACTTAAGTATTCATATTGAAATAAATGATAACATTTAAGAACAGAGGAAATCAATGTTATCAATCAAGTTTAAATAATAATTCATACAACTGGTTTATAAGTGATATAAAAATGATATTATAATTTATGAGTAAGAGTAATTATCTTTAATGTCACAACATTCTTATTTTCCCCTCCATATTGAACTTCTACTGCATAATTCATATTTAATCAAACCCATTATTAATATTTTATACACAAAATCTATGTTAGATTCATTAATTAAAATAAATAAGCCCTTACATTTACCTCAGATTCATTAATCTTATTTTCAAATACATTAAAAATTATCATTTAAAAAATAAATATGTATGTATGTATGTATATATATATATATGTATGTATGTATGTATGTATGTATGTATATATGTATGTATGTATGTATTAAAGCCAAAGGGTTAATATATTAAAGAAAAAGGTACAGATAGGTTTGTATGGGTGGGCCTAAAAACCAAACCCACACGGTATAACACACCTAAAAATATAAAAGATGGGTACATATTGAAATTAAAAAAACCCAAAAAACCACCCGGGCGCTGAAAAAGTGTGAGTCATCACAATGTAGTCTTGCCTCTAGCTCTAGTTCTCGGTAGGGATCCAGCTAGGAAAGTGCTGACCATTACCCGTAGTAACCAAAGTATCATCCATAAGACTTCTGAGCTCTAGTAGATCTCATTTCTTCTTCTTCCTCCTGGAAGTGTAAACCTGTCATTCGTCTGAAGAATAAGTCTGATGGCGTAGAGCTAAAGCAAAAGGAATACCAACAGTAGTACCCATAATAGGTTTTAGAATATGTGAAGTATGAGTTGCCTCGAGACCGGTTACTTCTTGAAGAAGTAGAGCTGCGAGACTCTCCTGATTATCAATCTGAACACTATCATTTATAGGTAATAGTTCAACAGTATTGTTTTCTATGGAGTTTGTAGGTGCCAGCACCGCATCACTCGCAGTAACAGTAACAACAGTGTCATGGGGGATCCTCAGGGGCAACATACATCTCCTGTCTGGTAGTATCTTCCTCAGGTGGAACTAAAATGTCCACAGCAGTGGGGTTAGACCCATCCTTATTCACTTGAACCTTAGATTTCAAATTAGGATGAAGCTTGTGACATTTAACAAGGATATGACCAAACATCTTACAGTGGGTACAATATGGGGGTTTGTGTTCCATGACGATTTTGTTGCCAATAACCATTATGGGTTGTGCCCAGCCAAACTTCAATAACATCAGGTAAAGTAATATCTCTTTCCACAAGAATCCTGGCCACTGAGGGTCTGGTTAGGTTGAAAGTAGGCAAATCTATTTTCAAAGGATCCCCAAGGATGACCCCAATAGAGTAGAGAACCTGATGGTGAAAAAAATACAGCTTAAGACTAGGTAAACTAAACCATATCAGTACAGTGAGAGTTTCATGATTTAGGTCGAAATTATGAGACCACTTGAGTAACTTCATTAATTTGCCCGAGATATTTCTTGGAGAAAATTATGGTGTAGTCTTCAGCCACTGTTAGTTGGATCAACACATGTCTTCTATCCATGAGTACCACTTTCCACTTGCCTACTAGCTTAAGATCATCAACGCTCTTTCTGATAACATCCATAGGAGGGCGTCCCCACTGAAATTTTTCAATAAGAGCAAACTTGAATTTTTCCGCATAGTAGAAATTTCTGATTCAGTGAAAAAGATTGCTTCTTTTCCACCTTTCATACTTCTCTTTTTAATAAAAGGACAATCATTTGTACGCTCATGAGATTCCTTATAACTTAAGGGGAATACCACCACGGACTCCACCTGAGGGTTATCCATCACATAGGCAAAAGAGACTTTGTCCGGCTCAGCCAAAGAAGAAGGAAATGCCATCAGAGGCTGTCGGCATTAAAACTGCTGTGAGATTGCTGAAAGGCAGAGCTATCGGGCGCAGAAGTAGGAGCAGCGTCGAAATAGAAGAAAACCAAACAGTTGGGCGCAGACGACGAAGATGCGAGCGACAAAGGCGTGGAGCGATATCAAGCAGGAGCAGTGTAGCGATATAGAGAAGATGACGCCGCGAGCAGTGGATCGATATCTCGACGCGAGCCGCGACAGGGAGCTGCGAATGTCGACGCCGACGTAGACGCAGACGCCAAACGAAAGAGCGAGAGTCGACGATGCGAGGTCCTTTCCTTCCAGCGATAGAATCAATTGTGACCGAAATCGCCATTGGAAGCCCTAGCGGAGCTAGCGGAGCTCGCTGCTGTAGCCCATATTGTGGAGATATATATATATATATATATATATATATATATATATAATTAAATAAATTAATTTAAAAAATTAAAACTCAATTTTATTTCTTCGGCCGCATGCACGTTAAATCCTTATGAACGAGTCGCCTCCTTCCTCTTTCTTCTCTTCTTTTCTCGATGCTTCTCTTTTTTTTCCTTCATGCAGAATAAAGTCACACGAATGTCTTCATGCTCACATACAACATATTATGCGGGATCCTCTTCTCCTCTTCTTCTGCATGCGAGCATCCACACTCCCTTCTTTTTGAGCTTGAGTTCTCTTCTCTCGCTCGTAGATGTTGCTGCCTGCAAGCCTTCGACTTTGGCTCTTCCCCATTTGCCGACTTTAGCTTTCTAATGCCTTCATATGCACAAATCGAATGTAGGGATCATTTGATTCTTTCTTCTCTCACTTGGTGTCAACGCCTTCACTCTGGCGAGAGCACAAACATTTGCCCCAGATGCACATCAGTCATCTTCCTCCTTCACTGAAGCCCTCAACATTTCAAATAGAAATTATTCTCCAGTAAGATAACAACATGACTTATCCTTCTCCCGCTCGATCTTTTTGACTCTCCTTCCTCTGTGTCTGTCTCTTGATCTCATTTCAATTCATCCCCTCCGGTTCAAATTGTCACTACTGAAATAAATGTTCATTTTTTTTTTATTTTACTTATTTATTTATTAATTTGATTTTTTTATTAGTTATTACAATAGTGCTTAAATTATTGTCATTTAAGTATATGTCGCGCCATTCTTATGTATTTACATATTCAACACAATTTTTTTTAATTTACAATACTTGCCCAAATTATTTAAAATTTAATAAAATTCATTAACTTTTTTAAATACAGTATAAAAATTTAATATATAATATTATTTATTTTTTATTTAATTATGTTGAGCCAAATTAAGCCAAACACGAGCGAGGAAACCTTTGTTAATGTTTGACTTGTTTATAAATCGAGTTAAAAAATTTGTTTGTTTTTGGCTCGTTAGCTTAACGAATAAATTGAACACGAGCTACTTAGCATGCCAAACGTGGGTTGTTTGCGAAATATGAGCTTTTTTGACAGCCCAAGATGTATGGGAAGAATTATATATTAAAGTTACGTTGATGTTAAAGTTATGTATATGGAGCACATATTAGTATTAGAAGCGGTTGCAAAATATCTAAAGATTTTTCAATTCAAATAAAGCTGAATCAAGGATCAATAGTGAGTTAATATTTTTTTTATATTTGTTACGGATATGCTTACAATTGATAGTTAAAGTGAGGTGCTTTGTTTGTGTTTTTTGTGGACGGCATAGTTCTACTTTGCGAGACATTTATTGAAATAAGACAATATTGGAGATATTGTTTTGAAGGTAGATGCCTTAGAGTTTTAAGAATTAAAACTTAGTATATTTATGTAATTTTAATGGGTTTGATATTAACTATTATCTTGTAATATTTATAAAAGATAAAATGGTGTCTTGATAGGATAAGTTTACGTATCTTGTATTTATTATGTAAAATAGGATATAGATGGGAATATTACTTCAAAAGTTTAGGTTGAGCATTAAAAAGGAAAAGTGTGGAAGGAGCATTATGCGGTAAGAGAATGTTATTTTAGATTAATATATAAATATGTAATTGCAATTAGGCTAATGATATTGTATGGAATTATGTGTTGGGAGTAAAAGTTGTCTAGTGCAAATTTTGAGCATGCAAAATGAGAATATTAAGATATATGCACAAAAACATGCTGGAAGAATTAATTAACTAGTGATTATATCTGATAAATAGTTTAAGTGATGTATATCAATGATAACCTACTTAAAAGAGAATTCATATAAATAGTTTACGCAATGGAGAAAAAGGATTCATGCAGCCGACCCCACGTAGTGGGATTAAGGCTTTGTTGTTGTTATTGTTGTACTTGAAAGAGAATTAGTATGTTTTTGATATGTACAATGTAAGGTAGGTAGAGAATGCACCCATTAGATAGTTATATAAAATTAGTGTTGAAGGCATTAGGAATGAGAAGGGTTAAATCTTAGTCACCATGGATAAATGTTCAAAATGATTTGTGAACTATATGTTTAATGGCTTTAGTAGCACTCAATATGAATGAAAGAAAAATGAGTTTATTCAAGTTAGTAGAAAGATACACGCGCTACTTTCCTTTATATTATTCTCTCACCCCTACATGTCTCCTTACTTCATAAATGCCACATGGCGTGTGATGCCCATTGATTATCATCTTTAGTAGCTGATTAGCTTAGTAATACGTGATGTTCAAGATTCTTTCTATAGGACAAGCATCTGTTGGCTCATTTTTTTTTTTCTTTTATTAATATGTCAGACTACAATTTAGATGATGGGAATGCATACATGTGGCTCAGGGGGAGCTCTGGTGGAGCTATTAGGTCTTTGAATTTTCAATCTCCTGGAATTGGTTCCTGGGGCAGCAGGTTCAGCCGCAATTGGCTAATAATCACAGTCCTTACCAAGCAATGGATGCTGCAGGTTTTGATATTGGGGGTATGGATTCACTGAGGCAGCCATTTCTGAACTTCCAGCAGCCATTTCAGTTCCCTCAACAGTTCTGTGTGAACCCTTTTCTGCAGCAGCAAATTATTCAGCAAGCTCACCATCATGAACAAATCATGAATTCTGAGTCTCAATGTATGTTAGATCATCAACCTAACATTACTTCAAATCAACTGCTGCAACCGCCATACAGTGATCAGCAGAAGCAAAAAGTTCAGCAGCATTCAACTTACCAGGAACTTTTTCAAGTTCAAAACAATAATATAGAACAGCAGCAGCTGCCACTATCTTCTCCATCATCTCAAAAGCCTTTATTTCTTGATTCAAGTGTGAACTTCTCATCAGTTTCAACACCCAGCTGCATACAGAATTTGTCAGCAACTTCTTATCCAGAATCAAATGCTAATAACTTGAACTTTGCAAGTCCTGCCCAGACAATGCTGGCTGAGCAGCATCAGCAAAAATGGGATCCACAGTTTGCGCCAAAGGTTTCTTCTTTTGGTAATTCAGTTTTACCTCAACCATTTCATTGCAAAGATGGTACGAAGGAATCTGTTGTCTCTGCTTCTGATACACAAAACCAAAGCCTATATGGTATCAATGTTGGTTCCTCCTCTCTTCTTGGCAATGTTGTGCCTAATCTAATTAATGGCAACAATAATGACAATGGGGTTTCTGGCATGCCATTTACCACGTCTTATCTTCAAAATTCTCTTTATCACAGCCTTGATGAATCATCAAGTATATTGCAGCATGCATATGAGATTGATCCATCAATCAAAACTTTTGTAAAGGTGAGCGTGCTAAGTAAGTTTTTTTCACCATGTCACATTGATTAGGGCTCCAAGATTACCTTTAAACTGGCTTTCAGGTTTACAAGTCAGGATCCGTTGGAAGGTCACTAGTTCAGCAACTACACTGAATTGCGCAAAGCACTGGGTCAGATGTTTGGTATTGAGGGTCAACTTGAAAACCCTCTTAGATCAGGCTGGCAGCTTGTATTTGTTGACAGGGAGAATGACGTGCTTCTCCTTGGAGATGATCCCTGGGAGTAAGAATTATTTGATAAATCATAAACTTATTCAATTTAAAGAACTATTATCAGCGAACGTTTCTCATCAAATTCCAGGATGCTTCTTTCCCAACTATCTGCTATTTGAGAAACTTGAATTGCCTGACTATTTTTAGTCATATTTGTATAGACATTTATATTCAGCTTTTTTATAAAGTTTCCGTGACTAAGGTTTATATGCTTTCTAATATTTGTATCTGCTGTCTGCTACAAGGTATGAATTGCGATTGCTTTCTTAATTCTGGGTTAAAATATCAGTTAGTATGAGAGGCATGCTGCTAAACTCAACAATTAGATGTACCATCTAGAAAAAATTCTTAGTACTGGTTCTGTGATGGGAATCCCATGATTGTTGTTAGTTATTATAAATTGTAAAACTAACTGCATCTGCTGGTGTGATATGTTTTTTGATAAGTTCAGGGAAATTTTTTATATAATTTCTGGTCCGGCTCTATATCACTGATAGGATTCTGTAATGCAGTATGAAAACTCTGTATGTTGATTAAAGTGTTGTATATTTATGCTAAACAATGAGAGTTTTTTTGGCAAAACAGCTGGCTTACAGTTACTTTTATACATTTCTATCATTTTTTAGCAATTCTTTAATTTGTGTTCTATTTGGAATGTGTGATTTTGATATCTTAAGTTTTCACAATACAAAATCAAACTTTGTGCATGCATTGCAGCTCAATCAGAACCTGTACCTCATCACCTGACATTCATTTATAAATATGCAGATCATTTGTGAACAATGTGTGGTGCATCAAAATACTTTCACCAGAGGATGTTCAGCAAATGGGGCAGCAGGGCGTTGACTCCAGCTAATTTCCTTCTGAGTTTCAGTAAAAACTAATGGCAAGTTCGTTTATTTTGACTTGGGATAGAATATTCCTCTACTTACTTTCAGTGCTTTCCAAGATTTTAATGATTTGGGCACCATCAAATCCTAATGCGAATTAAAAATAAGATCTAAATACTAATAATTATTATTTTTTGAATATTATTGCATTTTTGTGTCCATGTCCTGCAATGTTGGGAAATCTTTTCTTTGTTGGAATGGAAAGTTGAGGGCTTCAATCGATTTACAAATAAAACCACACCGAGGAAAATAGATCACACCAATTCAAGGAATCCATAATAAAATTTGCAACAGAAATGCACAACAAAGTAATCACAGAGAAACACACTGGGATTTAACGTGAAAAAACTGAAAAAAAAAACCACTGTGCCACACGACACCAAAATTCATTATGAATGGAGAAATATACAGAGATCTTTGTCATTCAACTATTCTTTTATGCCACTAGAATTTATAAGAATTCCGCTTCAAATTTTCTCTTGATTGCACAAGTGAAGTCACGTGTTGAAAATTCACCTCCCAAACACAGCACAACTTCTATGCTCCATTGAGAGATCACTGCGTGCAAGCATGAGAGACACCGCTCTGACTTGAGAACTTTAGAACTAAAATGGGAGACAAATCACAAGTAGTGTGGTTACGTTGTCTTCGGTGCAATTATTCTGTGTTTTCTGTTCCGAAGTCAGGAGTCGAAGTACTACGGTGTAGATATGCTGGCTGGTTGTGGTTATGTCAGCCTTGTTACTTTTGGCCACTTTTGGCGTACGTAGTTACGTCGACATGATTGGTACGCTGCCTTTCCCAGCTTCTTGGCGTTGAAATCCCTCTTTGCATCTGTGTGGGTGGTCCTTCAGGCTATATAACTCAACAATCTCCCATTAGATATTGATAGCATCCATCTTCATAGCCATATACCATAGCGTGGCTAGCCCCTTGTCTCAACCTTCTCAGACTATAACTAAAGCTAAGCATAACTCTAATTTCTTGATAGTCATTAATTTAGTCAATATATCTGTAGTATTTTGAGTTATGCGTATCTTCTCTATGTACAATTGCTTGTCTTCTAGTAAAATGATATCTCAGCTAGCTAAATATTGTTTGATATGACATGAAAAACAGTGTTTACAACAAGATGAATAAGACTCATACTATCATTATGAAGCTTTCTAATCTCTTTCTCCTTGCCCAATTCTACCATAAGACCCTCTAGTCAAAATCATCTCCTTGCTTGCCTCAGTGATAATAATATATCTGGCTTTTGTACTTGAAAGTGCAACAATCTTCTGCAGAATGACAAACCAACTCATCGCTGTGTTTCCCAAAGTTAATATATACCATGTTGTACTTCTATCATTTAAATCTCTTGCCAGATCAGAATCTACAAATTTCTATGGACTGATCCTACACTTTCAAAGCAACTTATCTTGTTGATTGTTTCCCTTGAGTACTTCAGAATCCACTTCACCATCTTCTAATGATGCCTGCCTGGATCACCCATGTACTTGCTAACCACTCCCACTGCATATGTTATATATGCTATTATACAAATTATAAAAAGCATCAAACTTTCAATTGCTGAAATATGAAGTTCTCCCCATCTGAGCTTGCTCTGCTTCTGACATTGGTGATAGATCTATATATAGCTTGAAGTGACTACCTAAGGGGTTGCAAACTGATTTTGTTTCACTCATGTTTAATCTCTGTGAAATTTTCTTAACATACTGTCTGAGATAACTTTACTGTACCTACACTCATGTCCCTACTAATTTTCATTCCAAAGATCTTAGTTAGATCCAAATCTTTCATCTCGAACTTCCTTGATAATTGCTTCTTTAAGTTCCTAATTCTCTCCTTATCCACCCTTCAATCGACATGTCATCCACACACAAAAGAAGATATATCAATTACCAAACACTTGGATAAAGCAACAATGGTCTCTTTGATACTACATTTACTCACTGAGATGAATCTATCAAATGTACCATACAACTGTCTCAGGGTCTGCTTTAAGCCATAAAGTCTCTTCTTCAACTGCAGGCTAAATCTTCTTTCCCAAGTATCTCATAACCCTGCTGTTGCCAATATGTACAATTTCTCTTCTAGATTTTCATATAAAATGGTTGTATTTACATCCATCTGCTCTAGATTTAGATCTTCCTCTATTACTAAGTTCAACATAACTTTGACACTTGATATCTTCACTTCAGGAGAAAATCTCAGTATAGTCCACTCATTCCTTCTGTTGATACCCCTTCTTAATAAGTCTTGTCTTGTAGCTCCTGGTATTATCCGACTCTACTTTCAGCCTGTAGACCCACTTGTGCACTGCACTCTTACCTTTTGGTAATATTGCCAAATTTTAAGTTTGATTCGATATCAGTGACTTCATCCATCATTCATGGCAAACTCCCACTACTTTGAATTTTAAGCTTAAATGACCTCTTCATGGCACTTTGGTTCACTACTATCAATTAGCACCAAACTGTATAAAAAGAGAATACCTTAGTGCCAGTCTCAAGATTATCTTCGACCTCTTGACTTTAATGGTAAGTGATCCTGTTCTTCGTCTGATTGAGTACTTCAATCTCCATCGTTCTGATCATCAACGTCTTCTATATCAATATATTTGAACTCTTCAGAAATAACAAACGGGCAATTCTAAGATTTGTTCATTGAATGTAGTGTCGTCTGATTGAGTACTTCAATCTCCATCGTTCTGATCGTCAACGTCTTCTATATCAACATATTTGAACTCTTCAGAAATAACAAACAGGCAATTCTAAGATTTGTTCATTGAATGTAGTGTCCCTATTTCTTTTAAACTTTTGATTTTGACAGTCTCATAATTTGTACTCAAATTCATTCAAGGAATATCCAATGAAAGTGCATTTGACAGATTTTGAACAAAGATTACTTCTAGACCCTGCATCATTATGTACATATGCATAACAATCAAATTCTTTCAAATGAGATAGATTTACTCTTTCACTCTGGGCTTCTTCAGATAAGCCTTCTTTCAAGGGTAATGACCCACCATGATTTATCAGAAAAACTATAATGTTCATTACTTCTGCTTAGAATTGTCTTGGCAACCCAACATGCAACCTCATGCTCCTGGGACTTTATGTGATGGTTATGTTCATGTTGTTGACCTCATTTTTAGTGAGGTGTAGTTTTCTTTTTAGGGTTAAGTTCTAATCTTAGGGTTTTTCCTTTGACTATCATAAAGCCTTAGAAATGAGGCCCGCCTCATTTTAAAAATTCAACCTGCTTCTTTACTCTTTTGGAGTTTCGCATGTGTGGTATCGGCCTCTAGCACTTGGAGGTTGAAACGAACATGAGGAAATCCAAAATGAGTCCCTATAAGATTATTAAGCCCTAGGATGACCTTATGCACAATTTGCACCTTCATGCGCACAAACTTCGCGATTCAGACAATCGACACGTTTGATCACTACAATTCACATCGTTTGTACCGTTATTTGTCGGAAGCTTAGATAAATTTTTGAAAAGATTGATCGCGAGCTTGAAATTTGAAGAAAATTGAATTTGACATGTTTTTCAAACCTGGTAGTCGAGGAGGTTGTTCGAACGACCTCGAATGACGAAATTGGCTGCGCCGTCGCGTCTGAAACTTCAAAATTACCTAGGAAGGACACACATTTTGCTAGGGCGCCGCGTATGAATAAGTTGCACGAAATTTGACATTTTTTTAAATAAAAAGAAGGAAAAATCCTTATTTTAAAATTCCCAAATCCCTAATCCCTAAATTCACGCACACAAGAGGTCGCATGTCTGAATCGCAACCTCGTGACCCGCAACTCACACACCTGATTCCTGTTCTTCTAGCTCGGTCCAGCCACAACCTCGCCCCTCTTCCTAGTTGCACGCGAGCCCTAGCAGAGCGCTCCTCTTTTTTGTCGCGACGGTTCGAACCGAGGTCCCCTCCCCCGTGCTCTGGTGAAGCTTCCACCTACCCTCGCCACGCTCCATGCAGCCTCTGCCACCGCTCCCTGCTGCTCTGCCTAAAAGTTATTCCCTGTCTCTCCCATGCCTGTACGATGCTTGTCGTTTCTCGCTCGTCTCTTTTGGCTAGGCTCACCGTCCAGGTAGGTGAAGGTAAGTCTTCTCTTCTTCTCTTTTGGCTAGGCTCACCGTCCAGGTAGGTGAAAGTCTTCTCTTCCCTCTTTGCCTTTAAATACCCCACTTGGGGAAGAGTTTAGTGTTGACCGAAATTTTGGTGTGAGGGGGAAGTGCTGCTGAAAAAATTTTCAGGGCCTGTTCTTAAAGTTGCTTTGGATCTGAATAAATTTTCAGGGCCTGTTTTTAAATTTGCTTTGGATCTGCATCAAGAGGTAACCCTCTTCCTCCATTATTCGTTCAATATTCTTGCTTACACACCGATGTTCTAGTTTGGTGGCTCGACTCTTTTACTTGATTTCCTAATATCTTGCTGGGTTGTTTGGTGCTCTTACTTGGTTATTACTCGATATTACTTCTTAATATTTTTTCTCTGAGATGGATATATGAGTTTGGATGATTTTAACTATCACTTCTTCTCTTTGAGGGAGCTAACTGTTGCCGTAATATGTGGAAGCGCTGTGCGATTTGTCATGACTAGGGAGAGCTGGCCAATTTATTCTAACGCTTTGCTCCCAATACTCTCTCATAGCTATGCAGTAAATTTTACATTTATATGCCTTTCCTTGCAATGTTGCCCATGGTAGTGCACCTAGCATACTGGACATTCCTTTTACCCTGAAAGTTTTTGTGACAATAATGAATTTTACAGTCTTACATCATTGGATTGATACTTATGCTATAAATAACTTGAGTGGTTGCCCAAAATTGATTACAAAATGAGAAACCTAGCATTTGAAACTAAAGGTTTCTGGCGCTGTGCGATTTGTCATGACTAGGGAGAGCTGGCCGATTTATTCTAACGCTTTGCTCCCAATATTCTCTCATAGCTATGCATCCAATTTTACATTTATAT